CGCACTTGTGTGAGAACAGTGAAAACGAAATATGTTTAAATAACTATGCGTCGTACAAGGAGGTTGTGATATGTGTATAAGATTTAACCGAAAGTTTATGTTTTGTAAGGACCGTGGTATTAATTTAAGTTTCTGGTTGTGCTGGACCAGCGATCTTGGAAATTTCCATTTTACTACACGGTGTTATAGGGATTTCCGATTTCCTTACCTCCACACGCTTTTTGGGATTTCTACTATACCGGCCACTATGTGATTCCCATCTTACCGCCCTCTGGACGGATAAATGTGACAATCCAACGCTTCGACCGTGGTCGAAAACCAAACTTTCGGTACAGGTGTGACAAAAATATTATACCTAGAGAGTCATGATTTAATTTAGATTACCGTTTACCTTTGTGTTTATCATTTCGATTTCTTTTTTAAGTAGCACTCACGAGTGTAACAAGAACTTTGAATGACTGATGAAATTATCTTTTGGGATGAAAGTAATTCAACAGTGGACGATCCTATAAGTAAGGGAGTAGGTTTTAGAATTTTTTAAGAATTTCGTGGAAGATTGAATACTCTGCAAACGTTTTCAATGCATATAATAATACACAAAAACAGTAAGGATATTATATATATATTGAAATAATAATCTTGAAAGATTCTTCCGATTTCGTCAAACATTTACGTTCTCTCTTAAAATAAAAATTATATACCGTCACCATAATAACACACCTTCACGAAAACAAATAAATTAATCTTGTGTCATCGTTATTGATATACCTAAGTTATTTTGAATATTATAATTTTTATTAAAAATAAGACTTTTAAGTTTATTATTAGTGTTTTTTCGTATGCAAAAACCACATTCCAATGGTCGTCAACATTTAACACAAAGGATTTTAATTGATTTTTATTTGAAACGTAATATAATTAGTGTTTGAAAATTTCATGAAATATAAGATTGTTTAATATTTTAGTATTTTAAAAAAAATTGTTTTTCTTTTATATATGTTTAATTTTTATGTATATTTCACATTTTTTAGGTAGAACAAATTAATAAGACCCATTAGTCATTAAATTAATTTTATTTTGTTTTATTTTTAATTTTTAAAGTTTATTATTAGTTAAATTTTGTTTGTCAAGTAAGTTACATGTTAAGATTTAAATACAGTAGGATTTAACCCTATGAAATTTCAGAATGTTAAGTTTCAAAAACAATAAGGGTTGATAAATAATTAATATAAATAATGAGTACTTTCTATATATACCTAGGTACCATATAGGTAGTAGGTACCTACTCTATTTTTCCATAAATAATTATTACATTAAATATCTGGATATCTAGTCACCATATATATATATGACCATGATTACTATGTGTAAAGTGACGTTAAAAAGGTTTTAAATTCACGGATAAATGATAATTTTATACCTATATTTTACTACCTAGTAGGTAATTAAAAAACTACAACTAGCAATAAGAAAGTGAGTATCTATGGATTTAAAACAGTTTTTAAGTTACCTTGTGATAAAATCATAAAATAAAACTAAAATGTATACCACATACTTGTATCAGTTGAATGAGTTGCATCAGATTTAAAGACATCTTTAATGTTTTAAGGGCATTCATAACAATCTAAAATGTGGTTTAGTTGACGAGTTGCATTTTTTACTGTTGTCCAATTGCAGTAATTACACGATTTTTTAATTATGGTTTTATTACGCATTTTTTCACTATACTCTCTAAATACTTTATGTATTTTTACACTATGTTTACCCACGTTCAATGTTGTCCAAACGTAATTTATACACGTATAAACGTTTGAACAGAAATGAGTACAGAATAAAAATCATAATATTATATTAAATTTGTAAGTGTTAACGAATATTTACATAATATAATAGTAATAATCGTATGAAAATAACTCTTCTACAATTTTCTTGATATAAACTATATTATAACTTGGCTATATAATTAAAACGCCATGGTATTTCAATGAAGCATTTTACAAACTTGTCCTACGGGCCACGCTCTATTTGAATTCCTTAAGAAAACATGTAAAATGAAAATTTTGGAGACCCTACGTGGCGACAAAAACAAGTACTACATAACGGGCTTCAAAACCCTATGTGGCGTTATTTACAAGTCACATCGAAGGGTCAATAACCTCTAAGTGGCACTATATTCAAAACTGAATTTTTTATCTTGGCGCTTAACCTATTAATGCTATAATTTAATTGGGTAAATTGAAATGTTTCATGTTCTTTGTTTATCATTATGACATCATTATTCATTACTCATCCTTACATGTTTTATTCCGAAAAAATATTTTATTGATAGTCTATCGTCCATAAATATTTAAATATATAGGTAACCATGATTTTTTAAATATTATGAAGTCGACAAATTTAATCAATTGCCCCACCCTTTCAAAAGTTGAAATAACGCCCCTGTTTTACTAAAACACAATCGATAAATTTTGAAAACGTAGAATAACGAACACATCTATGCGTTATGATAGCAAATTTAAATATAATAAGGAAATATGTTTGGTATTTTTAATTTTTGATCATATCATCATCATCAATTAATCATTGATACTGTTTAAAGGATAATTATTATCAGTGGCTTATATTGTATCCAATTTCTGGTGCTACAGAGGCATATTTTCAACCATAGGCATGCACAGACTTCTTTTTCAGTGTATGCAAAGGCTGTCACTGCCTACCCTCTCCCCCTAAAACTGAAAGTTAATTTAAGCGTTCAAATGCTGGTCTTAATAACTATTTAATTTAAAATTTTAATTTTTTTCTCCAAAAAAAGTGACTGAATAGCCATTTATTAATCGTTATAACTGTCTTCATAATTAAAATTTAAAATAAATTACGAAAAAAAAAAATTAAATACATAACACTTGAAATGGTTTGAGTAATACGTTTAAATAAGGTAAATAAACAAAAATTTAATTATAAACTTAAATGAAAACAAAATAAATTTGATAAATAATCAAAATTAATCATAAAACGATTCTGCGTACAGTTGAGTTCTTAATATCACCAATAATGTTTTCGGGATTTTAATTTATAGCCATTTCTTGTTTTATAGTTTATAGCTATTTAATCTCGCTTGAATTATTGTACTTCTTAATTTCATTACCACATTAAATCGTTATTATAGCATATGATTTGTGTTTCAAAAATAAATTTAACTGTCTGGGACTGAATATAAAAATATAATAAAAATCATAATGTAACAAAGTCACATAATATACATAAGACCAAATATGTCATAACTTTTATTTATTTTTTATAATTGTAGAAAGAAGGCTCTATGTTTAGGGTATGCAGTTACATAGTCTGAATACCCCCTGCGCACGCCTATGTTTTCAACTATAATTTTCAACACATCAATTTTCCAATTTCCTAAATAAAATTCTTCTCTATTAACTATATATTGCTTTAAATAACAAATAAATTTTGAATTGTTTTAGCATTAAAACCTTTATTATTATAATATTAATAAAAAAAATAAACAAATTTTGTTTTCAGTATGCTGAAAACATAGTTTTTGCTGAAAACAAGTATATTAAAAATAATATTATAGGTACACAAATTTCAATGATTCTCTGGTGGTGTAAAAACATTTTTTTGCACCACACAGTTTACACCACTGATTACTATACTCATACTCCAGCGTATGGCAAATTATATTTTAAGTAAACGCATCAATCAAAAAATAGAGAAGTTGTTAAACGCTGTATACACTCCACTACACTACTGCTCAAAATAATTATTGGAGATTCGAACAAGTTTTTGACTATAATTAATATTGCTCATTTTATGTTTTCTATTAATTCATGGAATAATCTTCAAGTACAAAAACATATTTTATACGACATCAAATAAAGGCAATCAAGTGACATGCAATAATTTATTTCTACTTTTTGTGATAGGAATATAAATTTAAGAATTAATATTTGGAATATTATTTTAATTTTTTTAATGTTATTGTTTTATTTGAAATGTATTCAAATAAAATAGTATAAAAAATGTTGAAATCAACATTTTACCATTATAATATGTTTAATATGATAGGGAAATTGTTCTTCTAAACAACTTTTTTTTTTTTAAATAAAATATCGTTTATTGAATATTTACAATCTATACTATTATATGTACAATGAGTAAATTTGATAAAGGAATGATAGTGATGGGACGGTGAAAAGGGAAGCTTACAGTAGAGCTACCTTTACATGAATCTTAAATTAATTTTGGGTGTTGAGAAGATCTCTGGACCATTTCGGATTAAGACGTCGGGTAGGGTTACCTGAAGGTGTATTAGAGTGAAGTTGAGATATAAGTTGATTTGGGTGCTTCTAAACAACTAAAAAATTTTGAAAAATCACTTGATGACAAATTTGATACTATTATCATATAGTTTAAACTATGGGTAATTGTTCAGCTATAAAACCAATGCTCTTATACATATGTTTTAAAATTCTACCAATATTTTTTAAAACAATAAGTTTTATTAAACATGAAAAACATAAATTTGTAATTTACTTTTTTTTTGGCATTATAAATAAATATAAAAAATTATTTTTACTACTTAATCAATTAATTTACTAAAATCATTTAGTCAAGTTAAAAATGGTTGATTTAAATTATTGGCTGAAAAAAATTAAATACTTTTTATTTACTTTGAGATAACATCAGAATATTGTCTAATCATAGATTGATACATATAACTGAAAACTGTCTATTAATTAAATTATAAATGAAATTACTTTATATAATTTAACTATATTTTACAAGTAAAGATAAGAAAATTTAAATTTAATTAATTTCTTCACTTTACAAAATATTGAAAATTGAAAGTTGACTTTTTATAAGTGTATAATATAAATAACAACTATTTTTACAAAGTATTAATTTAATTTTTAGTTATATATAGGTATTTCACACAAATAAAAATGTTTCACCACCATTAACCAGCAATAATTACAAAATACTTAACTGGAGAAATGAAATATGTATTTAACATTTTAAATTATGCATATAAAATCATATTAAAAATTGAAAATTAAGCATCCACTTCCATGACAGTTTCTTCGGTAATTTGAAATTTAATTTCACTTTTGGCTAACACTTTAGTCAAACCAGCCGGGTAGATATATTTAGAACTAAGAAAAAAAAAATATTATAAATAGTAAAATAAATTAAATTTAAACTGTTAAAACATACGTAGCTGGTTTTTTATTGGGTGTCAAGTAGTTCCTAAGCATACGAGTCCCATCTCTTTTAATGATACATAAGTCTACATTACTTCCAGAACCAAGATCATTGAACACACCTGCCAAAATAGCATCACATGCAAGTTTCATGCCTTCTTCTTCCTAGAAATTAAAATAACAAAAGGTAAAAACTAAAGTTATAAGGATTTGGTTTTAATTTGAAAATTTAAAAATATAACCGTTAAATTTTCATTCCAACGACTTTCTAGTTCAGAAATAGCAGCCATACTTCCTGATCCCATAGATATGTAAGGTAATTTATCAATTGAACCATGAGGATAAATAGAATATAAATGTGAACCATTGTCATCAATACCTCCCAAAATTAAAGCAGCAGAAACATAACCCTAAATCAAAAAAATTAATAAATAAAACCATTAAATATTAAAATGGAACAAACTAAATTACCATGTATTTAAACAGATATTGACGAAGAGATCTAGCAGCAAAAACAACTGGAACCATTTCATCGGGAAACTTGAATGCTTGCAATGAAACATTGGCAGATACCATACGAGTAACTTGCATAGTGTCTGCTGCTGTACCAGCACCACAACAACTAAAATAAAGAAATAATAAAAATATATTTTAGTTATTCTTAATTGTATTATTGTTTTTTTTAGTCTACATACTGCATATATTTTCCAATATAATGTATTTTTTCACAGTTTTTTTCCATAACTATTGTGTCAGATGTAGCACGTGTGTCAGCAGCCAAAATAACACAATCACGAGTGGTCACTCCTACAATTGTAGTACCAGTTTTACGGAAACTTGGCATCTTGAGTCCCATCTTTTCAAGTTTTGAATTTCTAAAATAACAATATAAAATCAGTGATAAAATTTATCAGGTTCATTTTAATATACTATACTCTGATATTCGATAGTAGAGGATTGACAAATCCATATAAAATAAATAAATTTATTGTTTATATAAATGGAAAATTATAGGAAAAAAAAAGTACCTAATTTGTTCTTTATATGTTTTTAACTATTTTATATAAAAAAATACAAAAAAAATTGTAGTAAACATATAATAAAATACACGTTTCTAAGAATTAAAGGATCTCTACTCACTATCTCATTAACTACTAATTGATTTTAGCAAATTTAAGCTATGTACCTACATAATTTACATATAATATAATAATGGACTGCATATTTTATTATTTAACTTTTTTAAAATTTATCTTAACAGTAAACACAAATAAAAAATGAACATTGTTTAAGATATAATCACATATTTATTTAAAATACTAAATCTTATTATTACCCTTAGAATCTATCTTCCTTAACTATACATTATGTCAACCGCTTTCACAGACCAATAAACTCTTTGGATCTCACACAAACTAAATTTTAATCTTATTTCAATATTTATCTTATTCTTATATCTATTCAATAATTTTATTTACCTATTAAATAAATTAAAATACACCTCAAGTTAAATCACTCTTATAACATGCCTTAACCATCTCAATCTATTTAGATTCATTTTTTCTACAATAAAACCATTCTTAAACTATCAATAGTATATTTATTATAACATTTCCTAAACACCTCACACATTTTATATCATTCCCATTTCTACTACAATTATATTTTGTTCCAACCTTTTGTCTACTTATCAACAATAACACAAAGAAAAATATAAAACATTATATTCGAAAATTAAATAGTATATAAGTATAAATTAGAATGTATTGCAAAATCATATTTAAATACTTAAAACATCAAACCTTTCAAGATTTCGGAATGAGAAAGCACCATCGTCATCAATTGAACTGTAGTTAAGAGCCATTTTTAATATTTATTAAATGAAAAATTAAAGTAAATTATATAACAAAAGGATTAAAGCTGGGAAAAATTGTTTTTTAAGCTATAATCTACTTCTACCATAAATACAAATCAAATACAAAACGAAATTCATCAAAACATTAGTAATTTAAAACATTTTAGGTTACAGTAAAATCGCTTTATCATTAACAAGGATCTCACAAAAGTGATTAGAAACTCCTTGACTTTTGTGGTTATTATCACTCAACTTAATGAACTGATAAACGATAAATAAAACATCGTCTTATAAAATGTGAATTGTAAGTATTAAGAATTGACTGCCGTCTCCTTTACATAGGTGGGTCAGTTCAAAGTGCCATATGGCTCATACTATTTATTTTTAAGTTTTAGAATAAATAAAGCATTACACATTTTACTCATATTAATTTCAATTATCATTGTCTAATATAAGTGTTATTTGACTTTTTTATTAAGCACTAATATGTCGTTTGTATCATCATCATTACGATTATTTGATCCTGTAAAATTGAAGAGCATACATTCAATTTTTTTTAACACGGTAAGACACAAATGGAATTTTACACACTTAGAATTGCCAGATCGCATGTCTAGAAGCTTCAGGCGAGAAATTGAATGGCCTGAAAAATATACTATTAAACCATTGAATAACAGACATTTAGCTGGGAGAGATCCTGTCTCTGGTACTTATAAAAATCACCAACAATCCTTAATTTTTAGATTTTCATTATATTTGGTCTCAGGTCGTGTTGTTGTCAAAGGCTTGGGTGGTGGTATTAAACAAAAATACCATTGGGTAAATTTAAAGCGATTTGGACCAACTGGTGAACATGATCCTCCAAGAATTGATCGTGTTCTTGAAATATTGGATTGTGGTTGTCGAACATCCAAAGTAGCATTAGTCGGTTGTGGAACAGAATTAAAGTATATAATTGCAACTGTAAACATGAAACCAGGAGACTTATTAGTCACGTCTGGGTATATACCTCGTATTCCAGGTATTTTTTAATTATTCAGTTTTCCTTTTCTTTTAATTAAATGTTTTCTTTATAAAATAACTATATATTTGAATTTACCTTCAGTTAACCCAAATGAAGGAGATGCCTATCCACTTGGTGCATTATCTAAAGGCACAAAAGTACACTGCATTGAAAAAATACCAGGTAAAGGTGCTCATTATATAATGACAGCTGGATCTACAGCCACTATACTAAGACAAGTAGATGATAGAGTTATAATTCAACTGCCAACAAAATTGCAAGTATCACTTTCCAAATATTGTATGGCATCAATTGGTGAGTTATATTTAATTAAATTTAAGTAGCTTATTTAATACATTTAAACACTAATTATTATATTTAATTGAATATATATAAGGTTTAATTTACCAATACATCCCAAATTATTATTACTAATGATTATAGAATATTATTACCAATGTTATTATATAATAATAGTTATATTTACAAATGATACTTTTTTTAATAATTTCAATATTTTAACACTTATAAATGTTTATAAAAAAATATATAGATATGAATTTAGTATAAACTCTGGTATAAATACTATTATATGAAATTAATTTGATTTCTGATTTTAAATAAATATATCAATAACAATTTTTATTATTTAAGCTGTAATTCTATATTGTATTAAATATGATATAATGGTTGTTGTATAAATCTGACCATCGTACATTAGATTATGATATATTTTTTAACTTTTTATTTTTATTTTTTACTACATTTTTATTATTTTTATTAGTTATTGAGTAATACAATAATATGTTCTTCAAAACTGCATGTCTTCAATTAAACTAAGAAAATGTTTCTTATTATAATGATATTCCTATGACTGAATATTAGTTGTAATTTATTTGCAGGACAAATATCCAATGCAAATCACTTTAAGGAACATATCGGCAGTCCAAACCGTAATCGTGAATTAGGTAATCGTCCTCGATCTGGATTATGGCAAAGAAAAACAGGTCGTTTTGGTCGTAAAATTAAACCACCTCCACCACTAAAAATCATCACTGAAAAAGCTCCGAAGAAATTTGAAAAAATTAATTTAGAATTAGGATGTTTGTTTTAAAACATTATTGATCAATACATGAATACATTTCAAAGTGACATATTAGAAATTCATAAAACAAATAAAATTTATATTATTTTATTAATGACTAATAATTTACAAAATAAACCAAAAATGGTGATAATTTAAAGTTATGAATTGGTCTGTGTTTTTTTAACAACATGAGGTAAATCAAATTTGCCTCTTACACATGTTATTTTTACACCCGGCAAGTCTTTGCACCGTCCATTACGAACTAATACAACATTATGTTCTTGGAGATTATGACCTTCACCTGGTATGTATGCTATCATTTCTTTACCATTACTTAGCCGAACCAAAACACACTTCCTGTTAGCTGAATTTGGTTTTTTTGGTTTTCTAATCAAAGTCTTCAGGATAACACCTTTTAAAAATGGATTATCGCCCAATGGGTTCCGTTTGAATATTGGTTTTTTATGAGGACCAGTCTTGTGCATTTGATTGAGTGATGCCATACTCCTAGCTGATTCAACCACTAGGAACAAAACATAAATTAAAACTTAACTCTAAACACGGTTATATTATAACACTTACATGTCTTACTCAGTACCAAATTTTTCATTCCTTGCAATAATAAGTTCATATTAAAATATGGTTACTTTGTGAAAAATAAATTTTAAACGATAAGTTTTTTTATCTCATGCCCGACTTAAGAATAAAGACCACAGATTATAAGCAACTGCATTTTCTCTAAAATCTTATCGTTATCACTTTATCAGTATTTTATTTTTTTTTACACAGACCATCGACTTAGGCAATGTATATAGCGCTAAATGATTTAAAATTTAACAATAAAAAGACAATATAATCATAGCACAGTGTACATCTGTTAATTTCAATTTAATCTAACTTACAAGTCATAATAATCTTAAAACAACCAACATCTTGATTTGTTGTTATTAAAATTGGTAAGTTATTGTGTTTATAAATTTCGTGTTATGTATGTGTTGATAAAAAATACAGTGCAACCATACGATTCAGCGATTATTTGGGGATGTAATACAACAATAAAAGTTTATAGGCGCATCCCATCACATAACAAATGCCATGGACATAAAATATCTTTATATGTCTCTAATGCGTCCACATTAAAGCAAATATGTGTGTATCAGTGCCGTAAAAACCGAGTGTGCATTACACACGGGCCTCGGGCCTCATACCACAGAACATATGAAATTATATGTTTCATATATTCTGTGCTCATACCAGTTGCGTAATTAAGAATTTGGTTTGGGGGGGGGGGATTATAGGTTTTAGCAAAATCTGTACACCTCATACAGTAACCCCCCCCCCCACTAGAACAAAATTTTTAATAATAATAAAAATATTAATAATAGTAATAATAATAATGATAATAATCATACTATCACAATATAATAAATAAAAAGTTTTGGAGGGGATCCATCCCCCTAATCCCCCCTAATTACGCCTCTGGCTCATACTATGTTATGGGGCCTCCAAAGTTCAAAAATGTATAATGATAAGGGGCCTCTAGATTTTGACTTGCACACAGGCCTCGAGTTAGTTACGGCACTGGTGTGTAGGTACGTTGTATTTTAATTATTTATTATTAATTAATTATGCTATAATAGTATAGAAGTAAGTCCGCTCCAAATTGCTTCGAATGTTAAGAATATAAATTTGAATGTCTGTTAATTTAAATGAAAATTTATTTATTTATTGGAAAAATAAAAAACATTAAATTGGGCAAAGTTGGATATAAATTCCCACACCTCGATGTAGAGAATCTTTTTTCCACCGTGACCTACACCCCTTTACCTACACTATTTTTAATTTCAAGTGCCTAAAAAAAGTTCGTTATTCGTGTCTTTTTAGAAACATACTATGTACCTATGTATCATTTTGTTCTATCTATAATTTTAAATATGAAGGTATATCATAGTTAAATATAAATTTAAATTATTGTCTGAAAGGTGTTCAATCATGCAGCTTAGATCACATAATATACCTACATGATTTATGAAAAAAAATATCAATACGCGATTTTACACAATTTTCACTCAAACCAATGATTATTTAGTATATGAATACACATGATTAGAAAATGTTTTATTAAATTCATATGAGAATCGTTAAATGTAAACTTTAATTATACAAGATCGTTCATTTTATAAATGAATCGTAACTCCGTTGAATTAGAACTGCGTCACATCCATGCAGGTTTTAATTGATACTCTTGATCCAGATAAGATATTATGTAAATATTATGCACATTCCATAATCCAAAAGCCGTATAATATATCCGAATTTTATGACATTAATTTTGTAATAATTTACTATCCTTTTTTCTTTTTCGTCTATTTAATAATTAGTAATGGGAATAAGCGAATGAATCAAATTAGTCGAATAAAGTATTCATATGATAAATATTAGTAGTAAAAACTCACAGATATAGGTATATATAACAACACAAATATACATTTCCTGAACTTAATACGTTACAGTTAAAATATTTGTGTTCCTGTGACTTCTGTTCCATCAGAACGCGTGTTTTCAAAAACAGGATAGATAATGAACGACCGTCGGAACAGATTTTACCCTAATCATTTAGATTAACTATATTCTATTGGGCGATGCCCGTTTCCACCAAAAGTAAACCTTTCCCTTTTCCACCAATACCCGTTTTCACCGAAAGTGTATCATTCCCATTTCCACTCAATGAGATATTGACCACGTTTTTACCAAAACAATTGTATACTACACTTAAATTAAAAGCTATAGCACAGAAATAACTTTAACATATACTATTAATTCAATAAATGTAAAGGCATTATGTAATATATACAATATAGGTTGGAAAATGTTAAATTGTATTTAAAAAAATGGTCAGATATAAAAATATGAAAAAATAATATATTATGATTTACAATACCTTAGTTATGTAAATTTTAACTATATATATAATTATATTTGATATTTGATTATTAGTTGATATTTGTTAACTGATCCAATAAAAAATTTAAAGTTGTTTAGTACTAGTGTTTTATTTCCACGTTTACTTTCGATAACTCAAGCCATCATAGAATTATAAATTTTAAAATTTACTTTTTTTATTAATAATATAACACATTTTACAATTAACAAAATTATGCATATCCTTTATATACTTTATATAACTTAAATAATTTTTGTCATGTAACTTAGACTTAAATTTTATACATACTCTATTAGTTAAAAGTAAATTATAATATGACGTAATATACTTTTTAATTATTTTTGACCATTGTAATTATAAATCTAAAACTTAACAATATATTTAATTAAAAAATTAAGAATTTACAAATTTAACTTCAATTTTTTATTTGATAATTTACTCATCTCATAAATTATATCATTCGGATAAACTTCTATATCTCTATGAATATTTAATAAAGCTAGACTATTAAGCCTATTTTGTCCTATTGTATTTCTTAAGTAGGTCTTAATACGTCGCAGTGTTGAAAACGACAATTCTCCAGTAACTGTGGTTACTGGTAAAATAATAAATATTTGCAGTAATTTTGAAATGATTAGGTTTATTTGAGGATCACATTGAAAGTACAGGTCTGTAACAGTTTTTTTTGTTTGAATAATTTCTGAATGATGCTTAAAACTATTTTGTCACAATTTCAATTCAGCATTTCTTGAATATTCACTTATATCACCTAAATTATTTTCATATATTATATCTTTATACATTTCTAAAAGTAATTTAAAACTTTCTTCGATATCATTGCTAATTTTAAAGTCAGAATTAGGAAATAAACAAGTAAAGCTGCTTGTTATATTCTCATGCTATAAGATCGATCATGCAGTTGATCTATAAAATTATTCAAGAAAGGGATAAATATTGTAACATGATAATAACTTTCTGGATTGTTTGGTGCTACATTACTTCTATGAGCTTGGCGACCTAATGTTCTGGGAATGCAAACATCAATTCCAATTTTATTACAATATGTTTCAACAGACTTAAATATTTTACTAAACTCTTCAATAGCATTCACACGAATATCTTTTAATGTGTTTTGAGTAACATTGGCAAAAGAAAAAGCTTGTTTTAAATCTATACTTTCAGTTTGTAAAAGTATACTCAGTGGCACAGATATTGAAAATAATTTAACTAAAATCATGAGTGATCTCATTGGAACTTAGATTGGTTTATTGAAGCTGAGAGTTGATTAGCTGTTGATGATGCATCAACGTCTGTCCAAGAAGAAATTTCTTCTAGAGAAGATATAGGTAATTACAAGCTGTAATTTATGAAATAGCATTACAGCATCATAGCGCTCTACTCATCTGATGGGGCAAAATGATTTTAGCTTTTGTGATTTTTCACCTGGAAATATCTTTGTTATTGTAGACTGGAGAATATTTAATCTTTTAGGATATCCAAAGAACTTACAAATTGTCTGTCTAGTATCCATACAATTTCTTATTTCAGAAATTTGACAAATAAAAGACACAGCTAAATTTAAGTAATGAGAACTGCGGTGAATAAATAACGCCATTGGATATTTTTTTCTCATATGAGATTGGGTATCATTAAACATTCCAGACATGGTCGCTGCTCCATCATATCCTTGTCCAACTATATGTTTTGTTTCTACTCCTAAAGATTGAAGGTTTTGTAATATTGTATCAGCTAATGCTTTCCCACTCATATTTTTTACTTCAACAAACTGTAAAAATTTTCCCTCAATTTTTTTTCACCAGAATCAACTTATCTGATAGCTACATAAAGTTAATTGTTCCTTCTTAGATATATCACTTGTTTCATCAGCTAAAATTGTGAATGATTTTGCAGCGTTGATGTTTTTTACAAGGTGTTGTAGATTAAGAATGTTAAAAGTCGTTAATATTTCATATTGTATGCGCCAGCTTGTGTACATACCATTTTTAGCAAATGTCACCAAATGATTTTCAAGATCTTTGTTACCAGCGTTGACTCTAAATCTCAATAACTGTCTAAATTCAATCTAGTTATTCATATTTCAAACTTGTAAAATTTGTAAATTTTAACCTAGACCTCGGAGAAAATTTCGGGGAGAGGGGGGGTTACAACCGCTTAACCCCCCTCCTGCGTGCGCCACTGCTTATAATATTTATTTTATATTTTTTATTCTCTACTACTAAAATATTCGAAAGATTATAAAAAAGTAGTCGATACTACTTCAACTGAGTTACCTAATTATATTATATTATTCGTATACTGTATACACTATACCAATGACTATAAAGTTGTCACTATATTTATAGTCAGTAGTATACAGGTAGTGAGACAAAAAAAACCATTCGATGGAAAAATTAATTATAATTATTATTATTATTATTATTATTATTCCCATCACTAATAATAATATTATTATCGTGACATGGTCCTCTTCCATGTAAAATGTGCTTATCATGTTTGTCAACCCTGAGTTGATAACGAGTAAAAAATATGTGTGAATTTATGTGGTGTTAAAGCAATGACGTTTTGTTCTGATCCAACAACAATCGTTAGCTAGTGTAATTTTAACGTTACGATGGGCTTCAAACTGAAAGCTCTAGTCGTAGTGTCATCTGGGCTAGTTGTAGGTGTGTGTACATATGCCGCATACCGAACATGGAAAAAGAGACAGAATAGTGCAGATGATGAAGGTTTTGAAGATGTATCTAAAGTAAGTCTTGGTTATTTCACAATTATTTACGAATATATTTAACAGAACTGCAGATATAGTACTCATTTGATTTTCATGTTTATATTTTCAGTTGGAAGAATCATTGGAAAAGAAAGTCTTAGTGCTGGGTTTGGACCGATCAGGTAAATCAACACTGGTTTCACAAATTGTAAAAGACGTTGGACAGAAAAGTATAATTTCAAGCTCTCTCTACAAACCGACTGAAGGGTTTAATGTCACATCTTTGTCAGATGGAGCTTCTCCTACTGTTAACATATGGGAAAGTAAGAAGATATTTTATTTATTGAGAAACATATAAGTTAAATCATTTTAAATAAGTATAAATATTAAGTCAATAATTCAATTTGAAGTTTATTATATTATTGAAAGTCTTGTTAAAAAATGATCAATTATTTAAAATTATTATTATTATTACTTGGGATAATAATGTAAAAAAAAAATTTCATTTCCAAATATGAATAAATAAATAAAAGCTTAGTCTGGAATATTATTATATTTGTAAAGTATGGCCAGTTTCAAATTAAAAATTCATTATCAAGTATATACAATGTTAATAAAAGCTCTTCTATTCAAATAAATTTTCTCAATGTAAGATAACTAATTCTTTCAATGTATTCCTTCCTTTATGATTTCATATTCAGTCACAATTTTATTAACTTTGTTTATACCTGATGATGAATTTTTAATTCAAAATCAGTTATACTTTACAAATATACAAATATTAATTATTTATTTATTTTTAATTTAATTTAATTTTTTTTTTTTTTTTTAGTTGGTGGCAAAGAAAGTGTAAGAAGATATTGGGCTAAATTTTTCCAGGATACAGATATATTGGTGTTTGTAGTTGATGCCAGCAATAATTCAAATTTATCAGTTGTTGTGAACGAGATCAAATCATTACTCGGCGATGCCCGTTTAGCTTCTGTTCCCATATTAGTTCTTGCCAATAAACAAGTAATACTATCAGTTATAGAAAAAAAATATTGCACATCACATTTTTTTCATGGAAAACTAAAAACAAGTTTAAAAAATATTTTTGGTTTTAAAAATTATAATTTAAGTTTTCAAAAAAATAAAAATTTGTATTAAAAATGTATCTCAAGATCTATTATGATTACTATGAATATTAGAAATATTTATTTAAAATTGTTTTATCCTCATAAATCCATGTAAAAAGAACATTAACGGTAAATTAATAATTATAAATTTTTGATTTTGAGGTCTGATTGATAAATGCACTAAATAATTATTTCTCAGTCATTATTGTTTAGTATTGATCTTTACTTAATCTATTATTTTAAAACAAAACATTCATTTTCTTCAATGTACTAATTATAAAAAAATTAAATAAATATATAAGCAATTAAAAAAATCATAAAAGAGTGCTAAATAAAATGTTGTACTACAATACACTGCACTCTGAAATATGTACGTATTTACATGCGTTAGTACATCAAGTATGAGGAGTGGTCCTTATCCTAAATACTATTTATTTGTATAATATATATATATTTTAAATATCTTATTAAATGTTATTTATAATTTATAATTATTTTGATTGCTTTTAGAGCCATTATAAATAGTTTAGTACAAATAATTAGCGAACAGTTAGTAAAGAGATTTGTATTAAATATTAATATAAATGAAGATAATTTTTTTTTTTTTATCTTATTGTCAACTTATATTTATATAATATTATACTTATTCTTAGGATGTAGCTGGAGCTCTTGGCGCTGAACAGATCTCAAATGTACTCGATTTGAAAAGCATTCCATCTAGATCACATCAAGTAAAAGTCTTAGAAACTCAAACAAAACCAGGATCAAGTGAAATTCATCCAACTGTATTAGAAGTCCGAAAAGTACTCTTAAAATTAAGTTCCCATGTGTAACATGAAAGTATTTTTTTTTTTCTAATTAATATGGAGGTGTATATATACAATGTAATTTTTTTACAATTCCTCGATATTTGAATATTATTTTATAATATATTTATTTCACGTTTTTGAAATACTAAAAAGTTCAATATTGTTCTATAGTATATATTCAAAATTATCTTTTCGATGCATTTACTTGAATCATCTGTATTTTTAAATGATTACTTTTGCTTCTTATTTTAATTTAAATAAAGAATTATTTTACTAAAAATTATCAATGTACAATAAATAAATATACAATGTTACACTAAATAGTACAATATTTCAAGGTTGAATTAAATAAAGCAATAAAATAAAATAATCAAATTTAAGATTACAATTAAATTCGCTATTCAAAAATCGAAAATTCTAAATCCAATAAGGAATAAAAAGAGTTTTTTTAACTGTAACATTTTTGAATTATAAAAAAGAATTATATAGAACTTGCAGTATTTAAAATGTTTAAATCTTAATATATGTATTGAAATAGTTAAATCTAGTTAAAAATCCAACTTGTGTACACTTTTTTTAAACAAATAATTGAAAAAAATGTCATTAATTTTTATTAATTAATATTTTACATGCTATAATAATTAAAATTAACTTTCAGCAATTGGCTGTGGCATTAAATGTTCATATTGTTTTATGCTTTTAAATGTTAAAATTTTTGCACGTATCTGTTTCCATGTCATTTGATAAACATTTTTTGGATCCTTTGTCATCGCCTGCAACACATTATATTCAACATTTATAACTACAATCATATTAGAAACTGAATTTAAAATTCTAAATTTTTCAAGTGTATTAAATATTAATTCTCATCATAGAAATCCATTCAAATAGATACTGTGTTATGAATATTTATTTACATTATTTTGATAGTAAGTTTACCTTAATAATAATCATTAATGTTTTAAAATGTGTTGTTCAATAATACAATTTATTATAAAATTGTTATAAGAATATTATATATGATAATAATATTGGAAATTATACAATATATAACATGGCAAAACTACTAAAACATTAGTGGGTAAGCTATTGATGAACCTACAAACCAAAACTGCAAATTATATAATTAAAAAATAAAAAGTTAACCTTATAATTGTCACCGTATTTTTCCATGAGACCAGTTAAAAATTTTACGGTGCCTGGAGGTAATGTGATCTGTTTAATTCCAGTAGGTTTTTTAGCTTGTTCTTCCAAGAGTTTGACAACTTGAGGCTGCCTTGGTTCTCTTTTACGCTGTAAAACAGATGTCTCATAAAATCAAATAGGTGGTAATATTAAGTGTATATAATGGTAAAATATATATGAAATTAATAAAAAAAAGTAGAATAAAACTTGGAAACGAAATGTATGGATTATGAAATCAAATGTGGACTACGGCAGGGAGATGCCATGTCATCTTTACTTTTTAACATTGCATTGAAAAGTGCGATCTGAGAAATATTAAAGAGGGAAACCTAGTCACTAGATAGAGAACTACAGAGACTATCTATAGAGAAAACACGAGAGAAGTTCAAATGAATCTAAAAAATTTAATGAAGGCAAATAAAAATATGGAGCTAGTAGTAAATTCAAAGAAGACAAAATGGTAGTAACAAGCGTATCAAAGAATAGTTCCAACCTCAATATAGAAAATAATGAATTCGAACAAGTAAAATAATTTAATTACCTTGGAGTGACCCTAAACAACAAAAATATTATGCATAAGGAAATAAATGTGGGGCATTATTGATGCATCCATGCAGCTAATTGATGTAACTTCCCAATGGAAAACTTCTTTAAATCAAAAATGATATAAAAAAATTATTAAAACTATATGATAAAAAAAAATTTAAGCTACATAAATCCAATATTGACTTATGCATGTGCCACATAGTCTACGACTGGACAACAAAGAAAAACTAAGAAAAATAAAGTCATAAGAAAAATACATGGTCCAGTATTTAATACTGAAACAAACATAACAATGCGGATGAAAACAAATACACAGCTGGAAATCTTATACAGGAAAATATTGTACAATCTACTAAAAGTAAAAGAATTCAATGAGCCAGACACGCATGGCAAGCAGACGGAAGCTTAATAAAAGAACCTTGAAACAGAAAACAGCATAAATTATATTTGGAATTAAGTAGCCTAAGAAGTTGGAATAGATTGGCAAAATATAGCATATGATAGAGAAAAATGGAAAAAGATATTTTTGATGGTAAAGTTCCCCAATGGAATGTAAAACAAGTAAAAAAAAAAAATTGATACCATTAATTATTCCACTAACCTTTTTACTTTGTACATTAATATCTTCTTCCTCTACTTGTGGTTGAATGTTGGTAAAACCAGTTGAAACTGATCTATTTGGATTGTTAGATAGCCCAAAAATACTTAAATTTTTAGCAACTGATACCTTATTATTCCAATGATCTTTTATTAATGGACTAAAGTTGAATAAAAATCTAATTAGTTGTTGTATTTAAAATGATTAAATAATAAAATTACTATTAGGATTAATTAAATAATATTTATCAACCACAGAAAATTTGTAAAATAATAGTTCATTTATATTATTTAATATAACGATTAGAAATAATAAAGAAATATGTAAATGCAATAAGCCAAGGAACCAATAGGAAAGAAGTAAACAAAGACCAAGAGAGATGGAGAAAAAATTTTGCTTACAGGATGGTCTTAAAAATAGGAATAATTTAAAAATGTAAATGTAGTCTTACAATAAAAAAATACTTGAAGTTTTATAATTATAGTTTAGAGCGAAGTGTTACTACATGAATAATAAATGCAATTTAAAGATCTATTGAAAAAGTTATAATATTTCAAACATAATATAAAATATATAAATAAATAATGTATATCACATTCTACAGATATTAAATTAAAGGCAAAGGTATTTTTTTATAATCTATGATTAATCAATTAGAATTTTTAAACAAAATATCTAACACAAATACTACTAAAATTGTATCATTAATAAACATTGCATTCATTTTTAGTTAATAAATATGTACAGTAAAATATTATTTTATTTTCTATGATTTGTATACAACGTATATGGATAAAAACATTTAATTAAACAGCAAATAATAGAACATCACAAGAATATAGAATTGCCTATAAGGTTATTATTGTTATAAGGTATATTGTCTACGAGGCAATTCTATAGCAAATTGTTCATAATCAAACTGTCTATGTATATCCATTTGGGTACACATTTATTTCTTAATTTTAACTCATGTAGGCACATAAAATTGAATATAAAAAAATTGATCATTAATGGTTTTATTTAAAAGTTAAGTGAAAAGATAACTTCATGAAACTTACCATGTTACACTTGGCATTTTCTTCATCTTTTTAGATAATTTTTTTTTATTATAATTTAAAGGCATATTTCTTAAATAATTACTTCCAACACAATAAAATATTTCGGAAAAACAATGTTCTTAATTTTATCGTGTACAGAATAATTCACGTGGTTGATAAATTATCAAAATAAAGCCATAAACAAGATAACATCAAAGATTAGATAAGCATACGAGAAAAATAATAACAATAACTGCATTTTTGTTAGGTTATGAAACTAAAATTTACAATATAGATATACATACTTACGTGCGATTTAAAAGCGGCAATAATGATAATTTACTTTTTATTCCTTTAAATAAAGATTATTTTATTTAATTAAAATGATTTAATCACCGATATCATGTAAAATTTAAATGTCGTAGTATAAACTAGACACCTATCCTATCCTTGTTTAATTTTACTATGAAATGTTTATTGTCAGTGAATTTGAAGAGGTTGTAAAAGTACAGCCAACACACCTTGAAGATGATCAAGTATCGCGGATTATCATACATCTTAATTCCATGCTTGCAAATAAAGTTGTAATGAATGTTGGCTTGTGTATTTCATTATTTGATATTTTAGAAATCGGCGATTCAATCATATATCCAGGTGAAGGAGCGTATTTTTCCAAAGTACGGTTTAGATTTGTTGTATTCAGGTATGTGTGAAAACTGAAATATTCTTCCAAATAAAACTGCTACTTAATATGAAATTATTTATTCCGCAGACCATTTGTTGAGGAAATACTTATTGGAAAAGTTAAAAGTTCTAGTTCAGATGGGGCTGTTTTGTCGACTGGGTTTTTCGAAGATATTTTCATACCAGCAGCCAACATGCAAAATCCTAGTCGCTTTGATGTGAAAGACAAAGTGTGGGTATGGGAATATGATAATTGTGGTGATACAGTTGATTTACATATGGACATTGGTGAGACTGTTAGATTTCGTATGGTTTCTGAACAGTTTGTCGATACTCATCCAGGAGTAGATAGTGGACTTTTAGATACTGGTGAAATAGCAACATCAAAATCAAAATCACCTTATTCTATTGTTGGTACAGTTAGAGAACCTGGTTTAGGAGTTATTGGTTGGTGGACTGATTTATAAATTGTAAATAATGCTTATATTGTATATTTAAAATTAAAACAATTTTTTTTATTAAACTAAACATTTATTTTATAAAAATATATTAATGCGTACTGATATTAGTTATGGCATGTATAATAGTATCAGTATAAAAGAATATTGGGTGGACTACACAATAGATATTTTTATTTTTATTTTTAGTATGTTTTTTGAGACTTCATAAATTATAGTAATTTAAATGTTTACTATGTACATTTGAAAACTGAAATTTCAATATAATCACCACATATCATTATCATTTTTTTTAATTTTTGTGAACCAAATAATCAAAAAAATAAAAAAAGTCAAATAATTAATTTTATTCATAACATTTAATCAACAAGATATTAATGATAATAATGTGTTTTGGTCTTATCAGAGTTTAAATAATATTTAACATTGTAAATCAATACATTTTGTAAAACTATTGGTTGTGAATGGTTAGTGTTCAATTGTAGAACTTAATAGTCTACTAAAAGCACAAAAAAATGCATAGTTGATAATATAAAGTTATAATTGTAATGTCAATAATGGAAGTTTTTTCATAGTAAATTTTGGAATTTTGAATTTTAAATTGTGAAAACATATTATAATTATAATAAAATGTACTAACAAAATTATATCGTCAATAATTTCGATGTTGATTATAACCATGAGGCCTTGGACCACCCTGTTAAAAAATAAATAAATAAAAATTCTATAATAATTGAATATTACAAAACTTATTTTATTTTAGACTATTTAAAATACTTACTCTTTGTGTAGCAGGATTATATGGTTGATATCTACTACTTTGTGATCCTCTATTGGTTGAATTATTATTCCTATTGAATGATGGTCGAGGTCTATAATAATAATAAAAAAAATTAATTATTTAATTATTAATTTAAATTCATTAAAAAGTTAAAACTTACTGAGAATTATTGGCTAGATAGCTATCAGTAAAATACCCAGGTCTATCATTTGATTGTTGACCAGATGTATGGCGAGTTCCATAATTTGGATATGCATTATTGTCTGATCTATAAGAGTTGGAATTTTGTGGACGATTATATCTGGCTGAATTATAACCACCATTTGAACTGTGATCATTTCGGAAATATTGGTTTTGTTGGCCTTGATTTAAATGCCAATTATTTTGTTGACGTGGACCATTTTGATGTGAATTATTTCTATAATCTATTAAAATAAAAAAATAATAACATTTGTTATGATTATAAAAATAAATAACAATTTATTAATCAGTAATAAACAATATTTACTGTGTGGTGGTGGAACAGCATTACTATTATTTGTATTTCTATTTGTATAATGCCTACAAGTAAAATAAATATATATGTAAAATATTTTTTAAATTGATTATTATTTGCTTATAATTTTACAATTACCCTAGCGCTCTGTGACCAGATATGGCTAATCTTCCACGTTGGTTAGAATGAGTCATACCAATCATAGGTCTCCACGATCGAGATTGTTCTTCTTCTAAATGTTTTGGTTTTAATACCCTAGGCGGTTCTCTATTTCGTAATATAAAAAATTAATTTGATATTTAATAATTATATTATTTATAAACACAATAGCAAAAACTCACACAACTCCTTCGAGTTTATTTGCTTTAAAAATATAATCATCTCCATAATTAGGATCTTCAAATTTCACACTAAATAAATTTCTATTAGAATACATTTCTCAATTTAAATTTATAATAAAAAAACATTAAATATACCATATAACTTGATTTGATCTTATAACATTTAATCCCATAACTGGAGATGGAAGTGATCTAAAATAATAATATTGGTTACAGTTATCAGCTAATGGTGATAGAATAATTAATACAGTAGAGATCACATATAACAATACGATTTTACCCATGTTTGTTGATAAAACTTATAGTTTTAATATATTTGCTATGTATTAATTCCAAGAATTAACATTAATTAGTATGTCATTGATTATAGACTATTTTCTACTAGTACCATTAATACTTTTATAAACAGTTTTTACTAATGTTATTATTACCCTCCAATTGTAACACAATCATCTGCCAACATAACTTTTCCTTCCATACCATCAATAAGAACAGATGTTAAGTTTTGACTATTGGTTTTATCTAGGGACAATTCTTTTAGTAATCCATACTTAGCGTTATCCTCTTGAATATACAAACGATCCATGCCTTTCACATTCCGACGCCCTAAATATAAATATTTTGAATAATGAAGATTTAATACAAATAATACATCAAAAATTAATAGTTTAATAAACAAATATGTTATTTAATATATTAGCATATTTTAAATAAAGGGTTATTTTTAAATCAAATTAAAAATTTGCAATAAAACCCACTAAATAATGATCATAAGTCATAAGTAAAATCTACCATTATCACCTAGATTTATAAACAATCAAAAACATGAATATTAAGCAATAAATTTATTTACATACTTTCTTCAGGAGTCAAAAGATCATAATATGGTTCCAAAGCCTTATGGAGTCTTATTTCATCAACAAATGGTAATAATGCAACACCTTGCCAAGCAAACTTTTTGCCATTTAAATCAATTTTAAAATCCACTGGATAAAAATCAATTATTGTTGATTCCTGTAAAAAATTAAGAAATTTTTTAAATATATATAATCTGTTTATAAAATGTCTAGTAAATATATTACTGGATCACTCATTAAAACAGCCCAAGGTTGAGGTACATGCTTGCTACTTGCTGCTGGAAATACACTCATAAGTTGTTCTAAAGGACGGAACTATACAACATTTAACATATTAATCATTAATTTAAGTTTATTAAATTCTGATAAAACATACGGGTGTTGTTCCTTTTTCAAATTTTGTTGATAATGATGATATATTAAGAAAGTCAGATGCAAAAGGTGCATAATGGTATGGGAAATACCATTTCCAAGAAGGACAACCTTGATAATAATACTGAAGAACCCAACATAAGCCACGTACATATTCCAACGCCACTCTATGTCTAAAATCACTATTGGTTCTGTCTACATCAAATTTTGACTCATAGTAACGTTCTTTAAAACCATCTTCCCATAAACGAACTTCATCAGGTGTTTCTTGTTCGTCATCTGAAGATTCATCATCTCTTTTACGTTTTTGTCTTTGATTATTTTCATTATCCTATAAAATTAAAATATTTTAATATATACAAAACATTATACTTTCTAAATATATTTAGAGGTACTAACCATACTTTGTCTTCTCATTTCATCAATAGTTTGTCTAGGATTAGATACTGGAAATCCTACATTTGGGGCCTAAGAAAAACATAATTTTATTTCGAAAACTCTTATAAAATTTATATAATAACTTAGACAAATGTTTAGTTGAAATGTAAATAATTAAGAGGATTATCAATATCAGTTTGGCACATTAATGATCCTTGGAGCATTTTTTCAAAGTGCCTCAGAATTGTTATATAAAATGCAAACATTTGAATTTAACATATTCTATCTACCACTGACATAAAATTTTATTTTTTTAATCATTTATTAAATATAAATATTAAAAATTACAACACAAATTAAATCAAGACTTAGAGAATACCATTATAAATATATACATATATATATATTAATAACATTTTAATCTAGGGCCATAAATTTTCGTACTAATATTTTTTGTATTTTTCTATTATGATGCAGTTTAAGTTAATTTGTTTTTATGTAGGTATACAAATAAATATATCCAATAAAATATAAGAGTGGGAACACTAGAAATCTTAAGTTGGTAAATTCAAAATTTTAAAAGCAAAAAAAAAAAAAGGATGCTGATTCTTGCTTAGCTGACAGTAGTTATTATAGTTACCGATGGTGCATATTGACCTCCTAATACAAAATTAGGAGCACTCTTTGAACGCATTAATTTTTCTCGTTTTTCGCGTCTTTTTTTTAATCTATTTCTATCAGCAAACATTTTTTCAGTTTGTTGTCTTCTTTTAAAAATTTCATCTTCAGCCAAACCCAAATCAGACATAATTAATTGTACTCTATCCAAATTCACATCGCCATTAAGGGTCAAGAACCCCTATAATGAAAGGAAAATGTAGTATTTATTACATCACTAATTAGTTATAATATACAGTATATATTTATATACATATTAGTATAATATGTAATATTATATACTAATATATATTTTATTAATCTAATTATAACCATAAAACAATTACCCCAGTTTTGTACACTGTCTTTTTATACAAAGACACTAGACGATCAATTGCATTTTCTCGTATTTCCAAAGAAGGCAAATGAGGTAAAAAATCATTACCAACAAAAAAACACATGAATACCCAGTCATCCAGAGCTCGTTCAAACTCATATTTAAATGGTAAGTTAGGCATTTCCAATTCTCTTTCTAAATATTCACGTAACACATTCAAACGTACAAATATAAACTGTACATCAGTTGCAAATGCAATAGTTGATCCATCACTGAATGCTTCTTTTTCTAAGCCTTGACAATCCTTCATTTCATGTCCTAAAAATATTGTTTAACAAAATGTTTAATATGTCTAAAATATAAACATATACAGATTTTTTTTTTAGTTATAGTTTATATTTGCATGTGTAAATGGGCACAACAAAATAATAAAAAAAATAAATACTATTTAAACTATTCATTGATGTATTGAACAATCATAAATATGGAAACTTCATCTAGAATAAGCATTAATGAGCTAATATTCTGATGTTAAATTCTTGTAATAGCAATTCTTGCTATCTATTATATTTATAAAAGTAGATTGAAATAAAATTAGATTGCTAAATTCAAAATTATAATAAATATTTATAAATTAAAATCATATTTTAAAAGTATATTAAAATTAATTATTTTCATAAACCTAGTTACAATATTATTATAACATGCAAATCGTTACCCATTTGACCACACATATCACAAGGCTTAGGTTGATTTGGTTTAAATTCTTCTCGGATAATTGTAAAATTAGGTTCATGTGTAGCAAGTCCCAACATAATAAGATCAGCATCAGCACCACAAAGAACATGCTGTGTATTTGGATCATGATTAGGTTGCGCTAAAAATTCAAATAACCATATTATATTCAACTTAAATTAACAATTTAAAAAAAAAGTAAATATTTACTTTACCTCTTTGTTTTCTTATAAAATTCATTATTTTATGTTCACCTTCTCCGGGAACATTAGCATCTGACAGTATCACTTTAATACCTTTCCATCCAGGATCATTGTTTAATCGATCATGAATATAATAATGCAGGCAGGCAGATAATTTATCCATAAATGGAGTACCCTATTTATAAATTGAAAATATATAAGTATTACATTTAAAATTATAAATATTGATTAGTTTTTTATTTTTATATATTTATTTTGCTTCTCATAAATCAAATAATTTTTAAATAAAAACTCATATATTATTTATACAGTAAAAATATTATTACACAACTAATAAAAATATAAAATAATCAAATATTCATCATTATTTAATATAGCTTAATTATAATAAATGGTCTAGCTAGGTCAGCACATATGCTGTGCATTCTTATTTTTGTCTACTCTCAAACATTATAATTCTAATATTATTCTGAACATTCATCACAATTCTTTAATTACACAATGAACATGAAGCATTTCTCTGTTTAATCTTTTGTATCCAGTTTACACTAAAATCAATATTTTTATGCAATACTTATTCAAAATACTTAAACCTATCAACCTCCAAAAACAGTTATTCTTGTGCATTGTGATTATTAATTAACCCTAGAACACATACCATATTCTACTTACTGTTAGTCGATTTGATAATGCAGGTCTTATGTGATTTACAGTCAACAAATAACTGTTAGCATAGTAATGTTTTATATATTGTTAATGACACAAAACAAAGTATATGAAAGATAAATAGGGGATGTGTTCAATAAACATACTAAAAATAATTTCTATAAAATCATCAGAGTTTGTCATATTAACAAATGGTTAGCATTCTAGGATTAAGCTAAGGGCTTAATGCTTAAACCCGTACAACCTAACCTTACATTTATCCATATTTTGGGAAAAGGATTAGAATATTATCATAGAAACCTTAGGGTTATATAAGATAATTATAACGAGGATGCATCATATTGATAGCCAGAACAAAATTTCATTTTATGGAATAAGGAAAAATGTATGTACAAGGAATATGAAATGAAATATTGACAATTTTTAATCCAACCTATTTTCTAACATAATCTTACTGGGGTGATACAGTTGCTATCAAAATGTTCTCCTTTAGGCTTTTCTGGTGGCAATATAACACCAGCTTCTATTAAATTTTTTCTAACACGAGATAATTCTTCTGTTTTTTCTGTTGTCTCTTTAGATGCCCTAAAACGTCTTGATCTTTGTTGGTTCATTTTTGCTCTGGGTGCCTATAAAATATTAATTAAGTACATATTCATTTTATATAAACCATTAATAAATAAACAATGAAAAACTAACCACTCCATCAATAGCCATGTACAACACTTTACGAGGCCTTACAATTCTAAATAAACGATCAATACATTCAAATATAGCGATCATCATTTCATCTTCATCTTTTGGGGCTGGCCTATAAAAAATAATAATATCAGTAAAACAATAATTTTAAGTATCTAGGTCAACCGATTTAAAATATAATACTTGTTTTCTGGATGTGTACAAGGATGTATAATACCATTCATGTCCAAATATAAATTGTCGAATTCAACACCATTAGGATTAGGCAAGGATGTGTCCATTGGTATTTGTTCTCCATTTACATCAGTGGACTACAAGATTATGAATACTCATTTTTAAATGACAAATGTAAATTTCCACAATAAATTCTATTATACCTTTTGCTCAATACAATTGACAATAACAGATGGATACTTCCTAGTTAACCATCTAAAAAATGCTGGAACACCCATTCTGAATTCTGGGTCTTTAAACAATGTCCACTGTTAATAATAATTGCTCCGTTTTGAAATAAAAAAAAAATGTTTATCTTAGTAACTAAATTATTTTTAAATGAATATTGATCGAATACTAATTCCAGTATTGAATTAACTATCCAGACATCAAAATAAAGTTATAAATCATAAATTAATCTAAAAACATTTATATTATTAGTTGAGCTAGTAGCATAACTACCGTTAGCCATTTTATTAAAATCCAATCAGCCAGATAGTGGTTTACGCTACGAAAACACTATAATTCATACTTGCATAATAAATGCATTCACATGCTGTCGTAATTTGTACACAAACAGTTACAGTGTAACCAACTAATACTATTATTCTTTAAAATACTTCAAGATTGATAAAAAATTACATCATCAAAATCATGATAGAGATATCTCTAGTCTTTATGATTAAAATCACAGTTTTAGAAGATAATATATCTTCTAAGACCGTGATCAAAATATTAAAACTAGTGATGGGCATAATCGAATGATTTCAATCATCGAATTATTAGTATTCAAGAAATTTTTTTAATCACGAGATGTCTCGAAATAATTATTCGAAATGTTCAATTGAAATATAATATATAAATATAAATATTATATAATTTTAATTATAAACGTTCTGAGAAATTTTTGTTGTTTTGTGGAACATACATTGTACAATGAATTGATGATTCATAATAAGTTATTAAGATTTGATAATAACTTACTGAATTAAATCATTGAAATGAACGGATTCAAATTAATTGAATCATTAGATTGAGTTGAAATTCCCATCTCAACAGAGTAATATAAAAGAGGCAAATATATTTTGCAAAAAGAAACTAGTAATAACTATATAGACTTTAAAATGATTTTTAATAAAAATGGAATGGATTATAAATTGGTATTAAAATGTTATCAAAATTCTACAAATTATCTTTTAGACAGTCATTATTAATTGAGCATTTTCAATCCCCTATATTGATTTAGTTATTAAATAGAATACCTACTTTTTAATACATTATTTTTTCAATAAAAGTTTTCAACTTTTTTTTTTGTATAATAAGTACAGTACAAATAGAAGTACATTTTCGTACAAAATATATAGTAGAAACTTCATACATTTGGAAATATTATATTTTGTATTCTTCTAGAGTAAAAATGGTATTAATAACATTTCTGTATTTGTGATTTCTACAATAACAAGTGCTTACAAATTTAAAGCCATTCAAATTTTTAAGTAAGGATATGATACTACTAAATACAATAAAGATAAATCTAAACTATAAAATTGTATTTGCACACAATTTTTAAAATCTAGAATTTTTTTTTTCAACAGTACAAATTGTTTAACTGTACTAATAATTATTGTATCATAATATTTATCATATTATTGGTAAATTTAATTTCTAAATTTAATATATATTGTTCACATTAGTTATTTTTATACCTCATTAAAGGATAATTTTTAACATCAACATTTTATATTGAAACATTTAAACTCAACAAATTATAAATTCAGACAACTAATTTAGTCAACTAATTATGTTACAAAAATTTACTAATAGGATTAATAGTTATTAAACAATACATATTCTACAAAAAAAAAAAAAAGAAGTTGAATGGAACATATTTTTCGATAATATATAATATTTATTTAAATCTTTTGAACAAATCTAACACAAAAATAAAAAAGATGAAGAAAAGCTGTTGTGATAATAAGTGTTTATATTTTGGTAACGATTTTCAAATCTGCAGATGTTGGAGTATTTATGAAAATATAATTTGTTAATTAATATGCATGATCTTTAACAAAAAGTCCTTGAGAACCAGCAGAAGTTTGTACAGAACCAGCTTCATATTTGCCCAAAGCTGCCAATTTGTTTGCCTAAACAAAATATTTTAACTTTATGTACTGATAACAATTAAATTAATTTAATAAGAAAATACTAACTAATGCTCTCTTAAGAAGCTCATCTTGAGCTGTCTTGATGTTTTCTTTCTTTCCTTGCCATGCCTTCAAGACTGATGCTTGCAGAGCACGTCCATAACTGAAGCTCAATGCCCATGGTTTTTTGGCATTGTACTTATTAATTGCATCTAAATTCACAGATGCTTCTTCTTCAGTTTGACCACCAGACAAAAACATGATTCCTAAATATTTAATTAATTGTTAAACATAGAACAAATTTAAGAACGTTATTTATGAATTAAATATCAAATTATTTTTAGTTAAAAAGATTGTTTTAAATTACCAGGAACTGCTGGTGGAACTGTGCGCTGAAGAGCAGTTACTGTAGCTTTAGCAATTTCGGCAGCTGTAGCTTTCTTACTAGATGACTGTCCAGGAGTAACCATGTTGGGCTTCAAAATAGTACCTTCCAGATATACATGGTGGTCATTCAGAGCTTTGTATACTGCAGCCAATACAGTTTCAGTGACTTTTTGGCAACGTTCCAAATCATGATCTCCATCACACAATACCTATAAAAATATTTTATTGAACATGAATAATATATTACTTTAATATAATTTTCTAAAAAACCCTATGTACCTCAGGTTCAACAATTGGAACAATACGATTAGCTTGACAAATTGAAGCGTATCTGGCCAATACATTAGCATTTTCCAGAATAGCTTGATATGATGGAATATTCTTACCAATCTTTAAAACGCAACGCCATTTAGCAAAGTGACATCCATCCTTTTTGTATTGAGCACAACGTTTACCCAGATCATCCAATCCTAAAGTTAAAAAATAAGTATTTAAACATTTTTCTCAATTCTTATTCACTTTTAATTTTACCTTGTGTAGTAGTTTCTCCTTCTGAGCCAAATAAGTCTACAACACCCATATCAACCTTGATTCCCGGAATGATGCATCGGTTTTTAAGGATATCAACAAATAATACACCATCGTCACTTTTTTGGTAAAGAGTCTCGTGGAATAAAATTACTCCAGAAATACGATCGTTTAAAGGTTCATCAGCAGTAAATAATAACTGTCGGTAGGCACGACGATTATCTTCAGTATTTTCTACTCCAATATCTTGAAGGCGTTTTCCCATGGTTGATACAGATTCATCGGCAGCTAATAGACCTTTACCATCAGCAACCATGGCATTAGCAATTTGACTTAATTCTTTTTGAAGTTCAGCAGATGGGTATTCAAAATAAGTAGTCATTTTGATGCTTTTCTGAAAATAAATATATTTAAATAAATTATAAACAATTATTATAAAAGAGTGAACTGATGTATACTAAACTTTATGATAAATACGCTCAAGAAAAAATGTATACATATTATTAGGCTCAAAAAAATTTTAAATATGTGTCAAATTGAAAATATAAGTATATATTATTAAATAAATAATGATTATTTTGAATGAAAATACTCTGAAAAATAGTATAGTAAATTGTGGGTGTTATAAAAACATACTAACTGGCTGAATAATCTTACAACCCACATATTATAAGGTTCAGATTTTATGACTTATTAACAATAAGAATATATTTTAATAATGGATTGAAAACATTAAATATTAGATTACCAGTTTAAAATTAAATTAATTTATTTTAAAAAATAAAAAAATTAACCAACTTTTGTTAGGAAAAATTTTGCCAAATTAAATATAATTTTCTTTAGCATTTTAATTTTTCCCAACAAATTAATAATTAATGATATTAAATTAGAAAATATTGTTAATAAAACTATATTGAAAATAAATATACTATAAGTAGCAAGCATAGTATACTTAAATATTAAAATTGCATATCAATATAATATCACTGGATATATGCAATATCGAAAATCATGAATAAATTGAAGTAATTAATTGAAAATTATAAGAAAATTATAGGTAAGTTACTTTCTTGTTTAAAAATATAATTTTTTTTCTTATTAAGTAGTAAATATTCAAATTACATATTAAAATTAGTCATTTCTGGGTAAGTCATTTATTTATTTAGTACTTATTATAAATATTTTTAAAAAAAAGGTAATAAACATTAAATAACAATCAAAATAATTCAGCAACTTACTAGTAATTATTATTAAGTATTAATATCAAAAAATAATAATACAAATGTTACAAGACTGTTAACAGCTAATATACACACTCACTCTTGCTCAAGTTTAATTTTACTGACACATTTTAAACTACTAATGATAATTAACAAGGTGACCTTTAGGTATATTATAAGAATTATTTTGGTGATCTTAAAATAACCAATTTAATAATGTTTTATATATATATATATACAATCATATTCATTACTGTATGTAAAATATTTATTGAACATAGTTCAATATAAGAACAGATTTAAAATAAGTCATAATATTCTATAAATTATTGAACATATCTACCAGTCTTATAAAATAAAACAAATAATACAATCTCAAACAAATACACAATATTTATTTAACTAAACTAAAATATGAAACTATATATATATATATTAATTTTACTTCAGTTATACGTACAAAGAAAAATAACAGATTTGTTGTTTTTGTAAGACACAAGGGTGTATTAATTGTAATATTATTATACATGGTAGGTACCTATGTTGATAAATTTAAAAAAAAGTTTTTATTAATATTTTTCAAGCATCAAATGAAAAAAGAACATTATTTTAGCTATACCTGGTTATTATTTATTTTGGGTAATTTGAAATATAAATTATTTACACAAAGCATGTACCGATAACAAACCAAAAACTTTTAAACATAGTCTAATAGCCAATATTTAAATATTTAATTACTCATATAAAACCATATATTCCAGAATATTGTTATTCCAATAATCTTAATACTTGATAAAAATAGAAACCAAAAATCCAAACAACTTTGACCTGTCTATGACCTACAAATAGACTGCAAGACCAGTATTTGAACTTGAAAATAGGCCAAGCAACAAAAGTGACATTGAATAATAAGAATTAGAAATAAACTAGTGACATTAACACGCATAAACAAAAATAAAAATATCACAAATAATAACTATTTAATCCAGAAAGTAAACTTAATTAACAAAACATAAAATATAATAGATTTCCTAAGTAACGCCTAATCTTAAGCCGTAAGGTGTTTCCCATTAGCGAAATTATCGTGAAAATAACATCAAAATTAATTTTTAATAAAAATACTAAATGGATAATTTAACCATATACATCACCGTATTGTAGAAAATAAATCATTATAATACAACATTAAGCGAAAAAAGTTGATTAACTTACTTGTTTGTATAACGTTGAAATAAAAACTTGAATTCGATATAAAATCGAATGATGAATGCAACAAAAACAAAAGCTCAGCTTTAGGGTAAAATAAGACCCGTGAATGAAGTGCGCGTGGAATGAGAAAAATCAATGTTATGAGGAGCTCGGGTGTAGGTCACTAGAAGGACATGCTGTGTACAGTGCAACCTTCCTTAATAATAAAAAATATTTAATATTTATAAATTTGAAAAATATTCTAAATTTTAGTCATCGATGGTGTTATTTGGTGTAACAGCATTTGTAATATTGGATTTTTTTTTTTTTTTTGCTATAAATAATGAAAAATTTAATAGACGCTTTAAATAAAAAATTATCTGCAGAAGGTATTTGATTAAAATCAAAAATCATGAATTGTTATAAGTATAAAACAAATATAGAACAAATATATTTTTATAACCGAGCAATAAAATATATAACAAAAATAATTACACAATTTTATGAAGATATATAAATATAATAATTTGAATTTACCATTTTTAAATTTCACCCGAATCGAATGAAAAAAAATTTTGATTTAGAAATTGACACATTGAATTTTTGTTACAAAAATAAATAATTATGTGAGAAAATAAATTTCAATTAAACTCATTGACGAATTAAAAACTGTATTCAATATTCGTATTGCATCGTTAAAACGATTGGTAGACAGTGGCGTAACTGGGGGCCCACAGGCCCCACATTGAGGAAGGGGGCACGGTAATTTGGGGCCTTTGGTTAAAGTAGATTTAATTCCCATGAAAAAAAAGTTGAATAATTGCTTTTTTTCAAATTAAATTAGAGTTAATCTCTGTTTATAATAATCTATTATACGAAATATGTTCAGACCAGAGCGTTAAAGAAATATAAGATGCAATAATTAAGTCTTTAAGTAAACAGTATACAAATAAATAAATATAGAGGTAAAGAATATGACGGGACAAGCGTAATGAGTGGCATATACAATGGCTTGCAAAACAAATTTATGAAAGAGAACCGAATGTTGTTTAAGTTCATTGTGCCGCTCACAATTTAAATTTAGTACCTACTGAAAGATGCAATTTGTGTTCAACCGGTTCAAATATTTTTTGATAATATACAAAAATTGTATACATTTTTTAGTTCAAGTATAAAAAGGTGGGATCTTCTTTTAAATATAAATTTAATAAAAATAAAATTTGAGGCAATCACGATTGCAGAAAAATATGGCATAAATACATCGTTTTCGAAAAAAGGAACAGACGATCAAACAATTTTTTTGACGAACTTTGTACTGACCAAAAATTAACTGATCCCGAAAATAATTTCAAAATCAATGTATTTTCCACAAATACAGACATTACAATTTCACAACTACGTACACGTTTTATAGGTATGAATAATATTGTGAATATGTTTAAATTTATTTTTCCCAAAAATTTAGCACTATACTCAGAAGAACTGACCCATTTCGCTAAAATTATAGTGGAATAGTATTCAAATGATTTGTCTATATCATTTGTACACCAAATATTTTATTCAGAAGGGTGCTATGTAAAAATATAAAAGAAGTTTCTAGCGTCAAAGAATTAGCTGAATTATTAATTGTTCAAAATAATTGCATGTTACCAAGTGTTCCGGAAGTAGCCATCGTTTTAAAATTATTTCTTACTCTACCCAGTGGCGCATTTAAGGGGGGACGAAAGGAGCAAATGCCCCGGGCAGCAAATTTTTGGGAGCGGCAAAATATTCTAACTATTATTATTGATATGTTTATGATTTTTTTAATTTTCACACCTTTTTCGGTATTGTTTAGTATTTTAGAAAAATATTGTTGAGCATTTAATAAGAAATTAAAAAAATTATAGGTATTATACCTAGTCACCTAGGTAATAGTAAAATAGTAAAATAGGTATATTACATTTATTATTCAATATTATATTTTCGTTCAATGTTTATAATAAAGACTCGAGTACACAGAACGTGGTATTCACTTTAGGGCACATTTAAGAAGTTTACAAAAGGAGTAAAATTGTACCTAAAAGTGTTCAATGTATATTAGCATTTATAAAAGTGAATAGTTTAGTTGAAGTATATCCTTATATTGATATTGCTCTAAGGATACTACCATGTATGTATACCTTCAAGTAATTGTTCAACGGAAAAATCATTTTCTACATTAAAAAGGGTCAAAACTTATTTAAGATCAACAACAGGAGAAAATCGTCTTCATTAATTAACCCCTCAACATTGAAGCTGATTTAACAAAAACTATTAATTTTAATGATATTATTGAACATTTTTCTTCTCAAAGGTCAAGAAAAAAATTATAAGCTATCGATTATTTTATTATATATAATTAATAATAAATATAATATATTTAATCTAATAAAAAATCATGTATTGTTAATCATTGTGAATATAATAAATATAAATTCCGTTTTATAAATTTAATATTTATATATATATATTTTTAAGAAAGGAATATTCACTGAAAAAAAAAATTAGGTTAACATTAGGATATGTATTACTATAAAATTATCTAATACAATATCGCAAAACAACTGATTTATAATTTGTTTCATAAAATTAATTTTTTTATTGATTAACTTTGAATTTATTTATATATATTTATATATATATATATATATTTTTTTTTGGCAAGGGAGAAGGGCGGAAAAATTATTTTGCCCAGAGGCGCGTATGTATTAAATGCGCCACTGACTATACTAGTAATATCAGCTACAGCAGAACATTTGTTCTCTAAATTAAAACTAATTATGAGTTATGTAAGAATTTATATAGCATTAAAGTGTTTATCAAATTTAAGTGTATTAAGTATTAAAAACGAGAAAATACGCAGTTTAGACATTTTAATTGATAAGTTTGCCCAAAAAAATGCTAAAAGATCGCAGAAATGTAAGTAAAATAATTCAGTTTTTTTTTCTTTCATATGGCGTAGGTTTATTGGTATGAAACAAAACAAAACAAAACTAAACTAAACTAAACTAAAACAAAACTAAATAATTCAGCAAAATTTGGTTATTTATACATTAAGTATTAATTGTGTAAATATTGTTATTTTTTTATTATATCATAACAAAATTTTAATTAAAATAAGTGATTTACCTATACCAGTTTATTGTTTAAACTAATATACCTACCTAAACAATATTTTAGGGGCCCAAATTTTTTTTTACGCCACTGTCGGTGGTAAGTTCAATGCACTAAATGTATATTTTGGCAATATGATAAACTGATAGAATATTATCGCTTCCAATCCCTTTAGTATGATATTTGTCACATTATGTTCTATATTTGATTATAACAATATTATTTATCGGTTTGTGCGATAATCGATAATAAATCATTATTAATTATATAAAACTATAGATTATAATATAAATAGTTCATAAATAATGTAGTTTTAAAAAATAGATACATTATTGTTTAACTTATAAAAAATGTCTGTAAATTGTGCATATGCATCTATACCTAAATCATCCAATAGGGTTTTATCGCATAAATTAAGTAGATAATATATATGTAATTGAGTGAGTGTCGATCACCGACAAAAAATCATAACAGCGCATTTTACAGTTACCTATAAGTTGCCATGAGATTAGTATTTGCTCCCATTATTTTTGTTACAACTGATTGGATCTCTTCTGTGTCAAGTGTAATATAAACCAAGTCAGATTTCATTTTCCTCAACACAACTGTTGTTGTTCTAATATTCGTTAATAATATTACATAATATATAAAATTATTATTAGCCATATATATCAATAATACAGCTCTAATATCTCTTGAATCTTAATTATATTGTATAATTTATTATACTTATATAAATAATGATAATAACTACGCATCAAATTCATTATTTAGAGTCATACCATATTATCTATAAGTATCTATTTAAATAATTGTCAAAGAGCCATTTAAATTATATTAAACAAAAATATGTAGAATTATTAATAATATGTATGAGTTCTTATCTTATTACCTATAAAAAAATTATATATTCTAATAGACTATTTATATGAATACTTTATCAGAATATGCCATAAAGCCGTCGAATACCTCCGAGTTCCAGCCACATTCGCATCTAAGATAATTAAACAACTGATATTCTGGTCACTTCCACCAAAAAGATAATCGTTCCGTCTCCGCTAAAAATACTAATTTCCTTTCCATTCTTCTCAAAACCCTAAAAAAAGCATAGACTGACTTCTCTTCCTCCTAACTTTGACATCTGGTACAGATCTATCTCTTTATCCCGGGATCTGGATATTCCTCAATCCACAATTATTGTCTTCTTTTCTTGACTTTGCTTTGGCCATAATCTTCTTTTGCGTTTTCCATGAGCACGAAGCAGTATGCAACTTCAATCACATAATTTTTTTTATATTTTCTTTCTCTTTTACGCGACTCATTATTTTGCAAAATGTCTTGGCTAATCCTTCTTCTCAATTCTCGTTCTCCTTCTGACATCTCACCCATTATTAATTTAATCCTCAATGCGGGGTTCCACATCTAAATTATTTGAATTTATTTAAATATATTGTAAGATATCTCATTTATTACCATGCAACACAAATAATTTTTAATTACTATATTTTTACAAAAAACACATAATTGTCTAGCTATAATTATTTTTTGGAGAAAAGCAATAATAATAATAGTAATAATAAATAGATCTATTTAATAGAGATGGCTTGTTTATAATTGTGTCACAAATATCAGTATTGTAATTTATGAAGTAAGTAGGAAAGTAGGTTAGAAAAGTACCTATTCATTTGATTATCTAGTTTAGAAGTTTAGAGAACTCAAATACAATTATTTAAATGAATTGCATTTTTTCATAAAGTCTTCAATTGAACAATAATAATAAAAAAATAATCTTAAATAATTAGGTATAATTTCTCAAGTAGGTAGTGATAAAGTAAATGTTTTGCTAACACGCAAAATAAACAGAAAAATAAACTCTTATGTTTTTTACGAGTAGATTTCAAAGTCTGACGCACAATTCTAATTTTAAACTAAAATAATTACCGAGCTCAAATATTGTCTTTCTCGTTGCATAACATAGATAAAGCTTATCTTTTATATTTGATCAGAGTACAATCAAATATTAA